GGCAAACTCGATAGTAAAAATATTCTGTGCTGCATGTTGGCAATACCACACCATTAATTGTTCATGCAGAAGATGTAGCTGTACCTTTCTGAAGAGGACGACTTCTCAGAGTTAACTGACATCAGCAGCTCAATCTTCTGCTTGATTTCTGGAAAAATCAGAAAATATTCACAACCAAAGACTGCCTGCCCTTGTTTCTGATGCCTTATTAAAGAGAGATTCTTCCCTAATCCCCTTTGTTCCAAATGGTCACAAGATTCCCTGTACTTCAGCAGAGACAGATTCAATGGTGCTATGAAAGAAAACGCTCCAGAGGCATCGGCCTTGCTAAGTATGCACATGACTGTTTATGAAAGCAGGAAGTACCATTTCTTTTACACAGAGGGGTGTTTCCTCCTTCTGAGGTTGAACTGACATGACCAGATGCTTCTTAAAACAGGCTGCATGTTGAGGCACATTCTAGCTCGTATGGCTTATGAAGTTACCCAGCTGGTCTGCAAGAAATCTATTGGATACAAGAGAGTTGTAGAAGAAATTCCACAAAATGAATGGTTTTTGAATAATTTTCTCACAAAGGAAGTATTTATGCATTGGTATACAGATTGGTAATCAAAAGCATTCCCAATTAATATCACAAATGGCACCATAACATGAAAGTAAGAGGGGAATTCCCTGTGTCTCCCCCCCCCCCACACACACACTTCCACTGTTTTTTCCCTCCTAAGGATCCCAACCATCATACAATATAGCTGGGCTGATGTATTATATTTGCTTAACCCCAACTAGTCAAACAACATTTAACTAGAAGAGAAATGCTAAAAGCAGAAGGAGAAGCTGCCACACTATCAGTAATCAATGTCACAATATCATGTTAATGCATGGGTGTTTATTCCTCCCAATATGCCCCTCCAAACCAAGAGTGACTTTGTGTTTTATGCACCACCTTTCTTTCAACTACACATAAATTTCAACAGTAACTTCTTATTAATAGCTAGTAGGGAACTTTATTATATCTAGAGCACAATATTTTTTTTAAAAGGATAGCCCACTCCCCTCCGGAGGATCCATGACCCCAATCTCAGCCAAAACCTCATGTTTCTATTTAAAAATACAAAAGAATAGTATGGAATCTAATATGCATGGAATGGTATATATAGTTTAGCCAAAAGATGAGGTGCAAATAGCTTTAAAAAGCTCTTAACGAGCTTTAGGATGCGAAGGATTAATTGGTCATCAGTATGAAAAATGCTGGAAAATCCCTTGGACATGGTAGATTTTAATCAAAATACTATTATAAGCATTTTGATAAAGATATCTTATCAAAATACTTATAATGCCCAGAAGCATGCCAAGTTAGACATATTTTAAAAAAGAGAAACTATGCTGGAATAGACTAAAGGCTATCCAATATAGAGTTCAATGCACAACCAGATATCAATAGGAAGCTCACAAGCAGTGCATGAACACACAAACAGCACTCTTCCACTCATGTTCCCAAGCAACTGATAGTTAGAAGCATATAGCCATCAAACTTAATAGTCATAATAGTTTAAAAACCAAGCATTCAAGCATCTCCTTCTTAACTCAGCATTTAAACAGAAAATCACATACATGTCCTTGGATTTCTGCCTCTATGGCCCTCTGCCATTTTTCACTGTCCTTCCCTATTAGCATACTTTTTCACCAGGGTTCAATTTAAAAGCCATTCACGTAACTTTCTAATGATAAACTCCAGCAGCCACAGTTGCAGCATGTCCGAATTGACATCTTATAAATCAAACTATTTAATATGATTGGAGCTATCAAAACCTTCACTGTATTAAATTGGAATTATGAATTCTGCAACAGAATAAAAATAAAATGTGGTTAATTCTTAGGTACAGAAAGCCATATTGGTGTAGCGGTTATGGTACCAAGCTAGAAACCAGGAGACCATGAGTTCTAGTCCCACCTTAGACAGGAAGCCAGCTGGATGACCTTGGGCCAATTACTCTCTCTCAGCCATAGGAAAAAGGCATGGTAAACAATTCTGAAATCCTCCCCATGTCCTGCTGTCCTGCGTTGTGCTGGGGGGTGTTCCTGGGAGGGATGAGTGAAGAATGTTGGCAAGTATGCCAAGAGTATATATTCCCAGCAGGGTCACCCAAGGCATGAAGTCATCCCAACTGCCCAGCCAAAGAAAGCAGGCACTTATACTGGGCAGCAGTGATATAGGAAAAGGTTAGAGGAAGATCATCACTTCAACAAAGGCATCAATTAATACTGGCAAGTGTCAGTAGCCTCGCAATCAATGGTAAACCACTCCATAAAAAAACCACTGTATTTTTATCGAGAAAACCACACGGATAGAAAATATCAAATAATTGACAGTATAGTGCCAGATGCTGGACCCCTACTTGCTCATGGTGCCATACAGAAAAAGAAAATCTGAAGCTGCAAAGACAGAATTACTACATGGAACATAAGAACCATGAACTTGGGAAAGCTCAACACAGTGTAAGATGAAATGAAATTACTAGAAATTAACATCTTAGGTATCAGCAAATTAAGATGAACTGGGATTGGACACTTTCAGTCACTATAAACCAGGGGTCCCCAAACTCTTCAGCTCATCGACCGCTTCATGAAGTTTTAGATTGTCCATTGACCCCCAAACATTTATTATATGAAAATAATTTAATAAATACTACTTTAACTAATAGAACTACAAATAACAACAATAATGGGTAGTTCCATCAACGCTTGGGGGTTCATACTGACCGCTTTGGAGAACCCTGCTCTAAATCCTCAGCAGTTACACCTAAGTCTGCATATTCCACAACTTATGTAAAAACTGAATAGCCAAATCTATTACCCTACCCAAGAGATTCAAGAAATAGCACTGTTTATCAGTACTAGTTCAGCCTCATTTTAAGTATTAGGTTTATTTATTTTTTATTTAATCAATCAATCAATCAATGTGTATATTCCCCCATCTCAACAAGTAACTCTGGGCAGCTTATGTTGAATTTCAGGTGCAAAATTTACAGAAATGTTACACAGAAATAGAGAGCCTGTGGTCCTCCAGACACTTCTGAATAGCCATTCTCAGAAGCTCAGGCAACATGGCCAACAGTGAGGGATGTTAACTGCTATAGTTCAGCAAATTCTGGGGACCACAATCTCCAGAGCAACACGTTAATGAAACAAAACAAACCAAAATTATGTATAGAAGCAACATAGTTTAAAGAAGAGTTTAAATAAATCTCTTCCCATTTTTAACTAGCTTCCTTCACTTATTTTTTTATGCTGTACATACTACTGTTCAAAAGTGACTTGAAATCCAAAGTGCAATTTCAGAATGGCTGATGATTTTATATAAAAACCTCACTGAAATCCTACCCCTAGCTGCAGTCAGATCAGCTTTCAAACTTATCTGACTGCACGGCTATCCAGCCTATTGAACAATCCTACCTCAACCCAACCAGTACATTCACAAATTGATATAGCTGCAAGGTCATCCAGGTGTGCTGATCTACTCTTGCAATTGCAATGCAAATTTCACTCCTTTTGTATTGCATGCAATGTCACTATGTGTGTAAAAAAGAGGTGGACAACTTATGTCACATTAGTGTAATGTTGCTTTCATCATCTATCCCTTTAACATCCATATGAAGCCACTGGGAACATCATCCATAGGCACAGGGTTTGGTATCATTAATATGCTGATACAGAGTCATATATCTCATCCCCAGTCCAAGCAGATGATGTAGTAGTACACTGTTGCCCATTGTCTGGAGGTTATCAGAGTCTGGATGAAAACAGACATTGACTGACTCCTCTAAGATAGAGTAGCTTTGGGAGGCTGCCAACAGCCCAGAACTTCATATGCAGTCAAAGACTGGGGCTAAGGAAGTAGAACGCAAGGAGAAGTAGGAGGCCAGGATGAGGACTCAGAGCTTCAGAGGACCTTATACCATAAATACCAGTTAGTGGTACTCAAAATTTCAGATGTTTTTATACCAATGCATAGTATATGGGAAGTAAAGAGGGTGATAAGCATCACTCAAATTTGGTAGAACAATACTCATGATAGGGACACAACACAGGAAGACTACAATTTTTTCAAAAAGAGAATAGAAAGGATGTAGACATTGTGCTGTATGTAAAGAAAAAAATATATCTGCATAGAAATTCAGAAATCAGATTTAAAATTCCTGTTGAAAGTATCTAGGTAAGAACACAAGGAGAGAGAAATAGAAGTGATACTTTATGGAAACTTATTATGGGCCACCTGGGCAGGCAGAAGTTATGGGTGAGGCCTTTCTGAATCAGTAACTAGTCTTTCAAAGAGGCATGCCGTAGGAAAAATTAGGAATTTTAGTATCCTGCTATCTGCTGGGAATTTAGCTCTGCCAAGAGTCAGAGGGCTAGAAATGTCTTGCCCTCTATTGCTGACAACTTCATTTGTTAGAAGGTGGAAGAAAGAACAAGGGAACCTGCTATCTGAACCTAATTCTCACCAACAGGAAGGGACTGAATGAAGAGGTGAAAGTGACTGGCACCTTGGGAGAAGTGATCATGTTATTCTTGAAGTTGTGATATCCAGAGGAGAAAAAGAAACACATATTGGAAATAGGAGGAGGGAAACATAACCAAAGAAGAATATAAGGTAGTACTGGAAACTATAGGAATTCTGTCAAAAAATGAAGTTCAGAATATGCTGAGGCTTGTAAGACATATAAGAAATGGTTTAGGTTATGTCATAAATTTTTTAAAAGGCAAAAATGATACAGGTCCACCATGACAGAAAATGATGAATTGGTAATGGACAATCCAACACTAAATGTTACTGGATAATGCTTTACTCTTGCTGGAAAACTGTGATAACAGTGCTACTGTGGCAGCCTGAAGAATACATGAAGACCTCAAAATGAAAAATTGTGCACATTCTGGCCCCACCCCTTTCTCTCCCCAACTTTCATACATATATTTCAAGCAAATGAAGTCAGTATTTCCCACTAGGTTAAATTATGAGAACTCCAAGAGACAAGGAACCATAGAACAAAAACATATACTAATATTTTTACATAGTTTGAACAATGCAAAGTGGTAACCTACTTGTGTGAAAGCAGATTAAATTCACAGATATCTTAAGCAAAATGTTTTTTTCAATGGAAAAATTTTACAACTGGATCTATGAGTCATCCCAGTGTCAAAATAACTAAAACAGAAAATAAAAAGTGTAAACCTTCTTCAATACAGATTTAAAAATTGTAATGAACATTTCATAACAGATAACATATTGCAGATAGTGATTTGCAGCAAATTTTCTAACATGAGACCTTCATTTGCATCAGTGCCAGAAGAGCCAATGAGATCATCATCATCAAGGCAAATATGGAACAATACTTATTTAATGACAGTCCATTTGTAATATGTACCAGCTATGGCTTGATGCTACATGAATGAGCCCTG